TCCCTAGCCCGTGGTATGGTTTTGAGTTTTTTGTTTGGTTTTGGTTTTGTTTTGTTTGTTTGTTTTTTTTCTGATTTTTCAAGACAGGGTTTCTCTGTGTAGCCCTGGCTGTCCTGGAACTCACTCTGTAGACCAGGCTGGCCTCGAACTCACAAAGATCTACCTGGCTCTGCCTCCTGAGTGCTGGGATTAAAGGCGTGTGCCGCCACCGCCCAGCTCATGGTATGGTTTTTAACATGTGGCTGTCTGACACTAACTGAATGCATTCTGATCTCATCTCCCACTTATATTCTATTTGTGGGTTTTGTTTTTGTTGTTGTTGTTTTGGTTTTTTTTTCCAAACACAGGCAAAGCTCACCCCAAGACTGAGGCATAAAAACAAGAGTGGAGAATTGTAAACACTCAGCAGGAATGAAAAGATTATGAGGCAACATATGCCCCGCCTTTTGGCTGTCAGAATATTAAAACAACAGACACCCCACCCCCCACCCGGTCCAAAAAAAAAAAAACACCAAACCTGAATGACGCTGCAATCTCATGCCAGGAAAAGAAAAAAGCTGTAGGCAGCTGCCAGCCAGAGCAGGAACCCGCCCCTCAGATGGAGACTTCACACAATCCTGACAGCTGCGGAACTGTCCACAGGTGGTAAGAACAGAGGCACGGATCCTTGGAGTTCTTCTCTGAGTTCTGTTCCTGGGGGCTTCTTTCCAGAGACTTCCATTCAGGCAAGCCCAGGATTCTTGGATTCACCACAGAAGAGAATTTCGGGACATAGCAGTAGGGAGCAGAGTTGGAATTTTTTTTTTTTTTAATATTTATTTATTATGTATATAGTATTCTACTGGCATGTGTCCTTGCAGGCCAGAAGAGGGCACCAGATCTCATTACAAATGGTTGTGAGCCACCATGTGGTTGCTGGGAATTGAACTCAGGACCTTTGGAAGAACAGCCTGTGCTCTTAACCACTGAGCCATCTCTCCAGCCCGAGTTGGAATTTCTTAAAATGGATTGCAGTGCATTCCCAAGCAAAGGTGTGGGCTTCTGAGAGAGAAAATGCACCTTATTGCCTTTACGGTAGACACACACATACGATCCTGTGACTAAGTCATGCTGCTTAGCGTAATTTGCAAAAGGGTCTAAAAGTTAATGGACTTCCTTCTGTGAACACAGTCAGTGTTCTCCCTGTTCCACCAAGTGGGTTTGGGGATCAAGCTCAGGTGGCCAGGCTCAGCAGCAAGCGCCCTTACCCACCCAGCATCTCAGCAGTCCAAAGCCATTTTTAAAACAGTGGTAGAGTTCAGTTTTAAAGATGCACCTAAGAGTGGCTCTTGGCAGGATTCTGGTTGAAAGAAACCAACTAGATGAGACATTTCGGGGGGCGGGGGGAGGGGGATGGCTCAGCTGGGAAAAATACCTGCTGTGCTGTCTGGGAAACCTGAGTTCAGTCCCCCGAAACCTGCGTAAAAATGGAAGGAGAGTATACACTCCACAAAGTTGTTCTCTGACACACACCTGAATACACTCTCACACACTCATTCACACTAACATACACACTCACATGCACATAGACAAAACTATTACTTTTTAGGAAGGACACTTGAGGGACAGCTTGAGTCTACACTTTGAGCACAGATGTTAGAAGATTCGCATTATTTCACTCACTACAATATGGGTATCTTTCTGGAAAATGTCATTTTCTAAGATAACTACCAAGTGATGATTGGAAGAGAAAAGTCAGACATGGCCACAGGTTCCAGAGTGAGAAACCTGGTGATGACTTTGGGGGTCTGCATTCTGCTCCCTCTGGCCCATTCTGCACATTTACAAGCTGCTCTTGGTTTAAGAAAAGTTAAGAATAGCGATAAAAAAAAGAAGCACGTGGCAGAAGCTTGTAATCGGGTTGTCACAAGCCTTGGAAGAAATGAATTGCATCCCTTAGCTCCCTGCTCCACGTGGCCATTAATTACCATTTCTCGAGGCTCATCACTTAAGAGCACTTGCTCTTCCAGACGACCCGGTTCAGACTCCAGCACCCACATCTGGCAGCTCACAACTACCTCTAACTCAGGTTCCAAGGGGTCTGATACCCCTCTCTGGTCTCTGTGGACACCAGCACCAGGATTTGGGTGGCAGGTGGCATCCAATATACCCAGTCAGACCCCTGTACCCATTGGGCTTCCCTTTTAATATCCACAGCAGGGGAGGGAATCCCACAACAAACTCCTGTGGGTATCAGGGGCTCTGTGCTTGCTTTTCTCTGGAAGAGTCCAAGAATGGGATGAATAATATATTGATATGGTTTCTGTGGGGACTCAATGGAGGATCCTTAGAAGGTCGACTAAAGGCAAAGAATACAGTAGAGAGTCAATAATCGCTGTTACTATTACCTTGTTCAGGAGCATCTAGAGCTGTGTTTCAGCTCCCTCTAGTGGTAATGGGTGGTAACTTCGTCTTCCAGAATTGGTTGTGGCTAATAGGCCAAGGACCTATTAGATTCCCAAGAATCACCAGCAGCCATCCTGGTGCTGACCGCCACTACGTGAAAGAATTCAGAGCGGCATGGCCTCGATAAGAAAGGTCACTGCATGGCTGAGAAGCAGTGGGCGTTTGGGGGTTTACAGAGAGAAGGTCCTAGAGAAACTGCATTTTTTGGAAATGTGGCATTCAAGAGATCATTGCCATTAGTTCATGGGAATGGATCTGTCCCACAGACAAGCAAGTCAGCCACCACCACCCGTCCTGGTCGGGATTTCAATTGTTGTGATGAAATGCCACAGCCAAAGCAGCTTGGAGAGGAAAGGGTTTATTTCACTATGCCTCCACATCATTGTTTATGGTCGAAGGAAGTCAGGGCAGGAACCTGATGCAGAGGCAGGAGCTGATGCAGAGGCCATGGAGGGGCGCTGCTTGCTGGCTTTCTCGGCCTGCTTTCCCATAGAACCCTGGTCCCGCCAGCTGGCGGGGCTCACACCAATCCTTCAAAGGGGGATCTGTTTATTTGTCAACAAATTGAGGTTCAGAAAATCTTAACCATTTGTTCCATGCCCCAGGACCTGGTCCCAGAAATCCTGAGCTGAAGACCAGGCCCTCCCTGTCCTCCCAACTCCTGCATCCCCTTGGCATGGTGGTCATTACTGTGCTCATTTGTTACTGAGCCCTTCAAGGTGGGCTTTGAAAAAAATGGATGCTTCGAGTAAGAAGTCTGGATTAGAGGAGAAACGCCAGTCATAACAACGGTCTTAAACTGAAGGGAACTGAACTTAGGTGCCAGATCAGCCACCTAACAACAGAGCCTCTTGGGTAAGTTACTTCATTTCTTCCTGCCTCGGTTTGCTTACCTGTAGAGTGGGGTGGACGGTGTGTTGCTGTTGTTGCTGTGATGAGTCAGTGGAGATCTATAAGGAGGATTGAACCGAGGGCAGAGAACACAATAGAATCAACCATCGCTGTTGCTGTTAGTGTATTGCCACACTCCTTCCCATTGTCTCAGCCCCTTGTCTCTCAGCTCTAAAGAGCCTGTGACCCCTGGTGCTTGGGGGCTGTGCTGGCTAGTTTTAAGTCAACTGGACACAGGCTAGAGTCGTCGGAGAGGAGGGAACCTCAATGGAGAGAATGCCTCCATAAGATCCGGTTGTAGGGGCTGGAGAGGTGGCTCAGTGGTTAAGAGCACTGGCTGCTCTCCCCGAGAACCCAGGTTTAATTCCCAGCACCCACAAGGCAGCTCACAACCATCTGTAACTCCTGTTCCAGGGGATGCTCATACAAACATATATGCAGGCAAAACACCAATGTACATAAAAAATACAAATAAATTATTTTTTAAAAAAGATCTGGCTGTAAGCTCTGTTGGGCATTTTCTTAGTGATTGATGTGGGAGGGCTCAGCCCATTGTAGGTGGTGTAATCTCTGGGCTGGTGGTCCTGGGTTCTATAAGAACCTCAATCCCGTATCCGGTGAAGCTTACAGCTCTCAAAATTCCTGTGAACTCCAGGAGCAGCTTATGTTTTCTTTTTTAATATTTTATCTATTTTATTTCATTTTACGTACACAGGTATTTTGTCTACATGTATGTCTGTGCATTCCTGGTGCCTATAAAGGCCAGAAGACGGTGTTAGATCCCTTGGAACTGGAGTTACAGGGACTTGGGAGCCACCTGCTGTGGGTGCTGGGAACCAATCCTGGATCCTCTACAAAAGCAGTGAATGCTGAGCCATCTCCCCAGCCCTGGGGATGTTGGTTTAAGAAGTGCCCATTTTCTCTGTAGACAGATCCTTTAGTCCTGGTGAACCCAGTGCACGGAAGACCGTTAAGGACACCAACATGGTCCAGGGAGAAGCACAGAACAGTGACCCAGAGCAGAAACACAGTCTTCAGGGGAAGGTCTTAAAGAGAAGAAGGGAGGCCAGGTATGATGGCAAAAAGCACAGAAAGACTAGGCGTGGTGGCACGTGCCTTTGACCCCAGCACTCCGGAGGCAGAGCCAGGCGAATCTCTGAGTTTGAGGCTAGTTTGATCTACAAAGAGAGTTCCAGGACAGCCAGGGGTACATAGTGAGAT